TGAGATCCAGGAGGGGCTGAGGCTGGGAGTCTGAGATCCAGATGGGTCTGGAGGCTGGGAGTCTGAGATCCAGGAGGGGCTGAGGCTGGGAGTCTGAGATCCAGACGGGTCTGGAGGCTGGGAGTGTGAGATCCAGGTGGGGCTGAGGATGGTTCCTCCTGAGGCCTCTCTCCTTGACATATACACACTGTGTTCTCCCTCTGTCCTCATGTGGTCATCCCTCTGTGTGTCTGTGTCCTCATCTCTCCTTATAAGGAAACGAGTCATATTGCAATAGGGTCCATCCCAATGACTTCATTTTATCTTAATCACCCCTTTAAAGACCCCATCTCCAAATACAGTCCCATTCTGGGGTCCTGGAGGTAAGGGTTTTAATGTGTATTTGTGGGGGGGGCACAGTTCAGCCCATTATGGGGGGAAAGGATGGGTTTGAGAGGGGTCTTGGCACGTGGACATTAGCAATCAGTATGACTCGTGAATATTGATTGTCCAAATAGCAGCAGAAAATTCAGAAGCAGAGAAAAGACTTTGTGTCTATTTGATTCCTTTTAATCATTTCTGTCTCATTATTAAGATTCTCTGTTTGCTGAAACATCATTTTTCTGGTCTGCTTTAGATCTTCGAGCTTGTTTTATACACCCATTTAAAGTCTGGCAAGTGAGTCCAATGTCTGGGCACAAGGTGCATGATTCCTCTTATGTGAAATGTCCAGAATACAAAAATCCATGGAAACAGAAAGCAGATTAGTAGTCTCCAGGTGCTGGGGAGGGGGCTGGAGAGGGACTGCTCATGGGGATGTGGTCTCCTTTTGGGGGGATGAGAATGTGCTAGAACCAGATAGAGGTGGTGATTGCACACCTTTGGGAGTGTGCAAAATGCCACTGAGTTGTACAATTTAAAGTACTTATTTTTATATTATCTGAATTTCACCTCAATTTTTAAAAAAGGAAGCACGTAGGTAGAGAATACATGAGAGGTAGTCAAGGCAGAAACCCAGGTGAGGAGTGGGAAGACGAGATGCTGATGGAACCAGAAAAGGGTGCTGGAAGGGAGAAGGACAAGGCCTCCTTGAGGAAAGGCATGCACTCTGGCAGAGGGCCCTCCTCTGGGTGCACACGAGTCTCCCCATTGCCACTGCGGTGCTCAGGGACCTTTCTCTGCTTCTGCGCTCTCTGCAGCTCTGCGAATATTTCAGATTTCTGAATAGCTCTCATTGCTGATGGTGCTCGATGGTTTGCTCATCATTTCTCTTTTAATTTTTATAACCATTTGGGTGTGTAAGTCTTATGAACCAGCCTTGTTGGAGGGATGAAGCAACCAGGCATTTGGGGATGTTGGCCAGTGGGGGCTTCGCATCAAGGTTGTGTGAATGAAAACCAGACAGACATGGTCAGAAGCCCACTGTTGCCTCTAAAAAGCAAAACACTGTTCTTATGTACAGGACTGTTCCCTCCACCCTGGGTGTGAGCGTCCTGTGGCAACCCCAAAAGTTTTGTCCATGTCCTGACCTCCAAACCTGGGAAGGGGACCTTAATTGGAAATAGATCTTTGCAGATGTGATGAAGTGAAGGATCGGAGGTGAGCTCATCCTGGATCAGGGTGGACCCCAATCCGCTGACAAGTGTCCTTATAAGAGACAGAAGAAGAGACACAGACACAGAGGAGAAGCCACGTGAAGACAGAGGCAAAGATGAAAGGGACGTGGCCATGAGCCCAAGGACGCCTGGAGCCCCAGAAGCTGGAAGAGGCAGGAAGGACCCTCCCCTGGAGCCTTGGGAGAGAGCACGGCCCTGCCCCACCTGGATCTCAGTGGTCCTGCCCCATCTGGATCTCAGACTCTGGTGTCCAGATCTGGGGGAGCACAAAATCCTGTGGTTTTATGCACCCAGTTTATGGGAATTTGTTATAGATGCCCCAGGAACTAACACCCTGGGTACTTGTTAAAATGGGAAGATTCTGGGGAAATAAGGCCGGGAATCTGTGCTTTGATCCAGCTGGTAGAGGCAGCCCTCGAGGAGGCTCTGAGAAACTCTGTATAATGAGTACAGTTTGTCCATTTTGTGTATTTTAAACATGGCGGGGGGTCAAAGTAGATTAATTCTTCTCCTGAAGAAAGCCAGGGATGCCTGGTATTTGGTCTTACGAGAGAGCACCAGTTTATTTGGTTTTGTGTTGTGTTGTTTTGTTTTTTTTTTTAAAGTAGTAGAGGTGGATCTATGCTCTGTAACTTTCTACTTTCCACTGACTGGAAAAGTATTTTTTCCATGGCCCCAGTGAATGAATATTTGTGTTGGGGCAGGAAGTGGAGAAAAAGATGACCGCATCCCCTCTTTAAGGCTCAAATGTTTAAGATGTTAATTGCAGCGGGCACAGGGATGAGCTCCTGCAAACCCCGCGCCGGACAGATTTGTCCTGCAGTTCTATCCCAGTTCCCGGGGTCCACGAGGGACCTGTGAGCTCCCTGAGGGGGGCCACCCTCTGGCCTCCAAGCACAAGGCCTCCTGGAGCTGCTTTGCCTTCTCTTTAACTCGTCAAGACTGCATCCTGATTCATCGGAGAAAAGCCAGAGACCTTGACAAATACCTCTTTGTCCCATGTGCCAGTTGCCAGCCCTTGTTTGGAGAAATAAAAGTTAAGTCGAAAAATGCCCCTTTTCCATTTTCATCTCTGATCGAATTCTCTCCTGACCCCCTGGTTCCCCACGGCTGTGTTTCAGGGTTTGATGATAAGGAAAAGAATTTTGTATTTGGATAATAAAATTTCCTTACTTGCCTTCAGCAACCTTCAACTCAATTTCCTGTCCCTGGAGACAGTGTATATTATAGAATAGAATCAAATTCTTTATTCGTAGGGAAAAAGTTCCAATTTAATCTGAATATTCAGCGCTTTGCACTGGTCAGGGTGATGGATGGCGTATGGAAATGATTCTGGTTCAGGTAATCAAATGGCAGAATGCACTCCGGTATTGAAAGAAATAATGAAGTCTATTCAATATTCTATAAAGTGCAGAAATGCACATCACACTGTGGAGACCCTGCATTCTCTTATTACCTTACCAATACCAGCTCCGTCGCAAAAATAAGTAATAAATAAATAAATAAATAAATAAATAAATAAAGGGTGGCCACAAATGAAGAATTAACGTACGTGAGAGCATGTAAAATGTAACAGCTGTGCGGGGCAAAGACGGTGGCGGTGGCCTGCCGCTATTTACCAGGATGAATACGGATCGTGGAGAGAAGGGGGTCTCGTTGTAAAGAATAAGGGGAACCTTCCAGATCTCGCCAGAGACACGTTTCCTGATAAGGACCTAGGGAAGGGGGTAGATTGATCCTTCAGGGGTGAGGGAGAGTTAGAAGCACCTCGTCATCCATAAATCCTGCTGCCTGTTGGAAATCCGGGACCACAGGGAAGATAATGATGCCTCGGGGAGGCCTGGGCAGGACTCGGGTGCTGGGGCATGACACGGTGTCAGGGTCAAGAATCAGCAGCAGAAAATGACGATATTTGGGGCCTGGCATGGCAGAGCCGGGGTCCAGCTGCCGTGCTTGTGTAAGTAGTCTGGGAGATGCTAGCGATGAGCACAGAGAGATGCATTTTCCATCTTGCTTCCCCTGGGACTCCATCTATTTTGACGTCATTAGTGACAATGATCACCATCATCCGTATTCCTAATTAGACGTGATGCGTTTTCCGACTGCGATCTTTACGCTGTGCACAGTGGGCGCAAAGCCTGTTTCTTCCATGCTCGACAAGCAGGTGACATCTCAGAAAGAAAACAAGAGGACAGGTGAGCTCCATGGCAGGGCAGCCTGGCTTTCTGGGAGGTGTTTCCAGAAGGAAAGGCTGTTTGCCTGTCAGCGTTCCATCGACACATGTCAGCTTTCCAGCGTCCCACGTACACAAAGGGGTCAGCTCCATCCTTGTGCGCACTGGACGGCAAAGCAGACCATTGGACACTCCCAGACACCGGTGGGACCATCAGGGCAGAGATGATCTAGATGCCAGACTGACCTGCATGACCTCATCACCCCTGGTCTGCTCACAGATGTGACCTCACAATGACCTGGACATGGATCCTCTCGTCGGTGACCCCTGTGAGCTCACCACCACTGGTGACCCCTGTCATTCCACCACCCCTGGTCTGCTCACAGATGTGACCTCTCAGTGACCTGGGCATGACCTGGTCCTGGGTGACCTCTGTGACCTCACCATCCCCAGGTGACCCCTGCGACCTCACCACCCTCATCTGCTCACAGACATGACCTCACAGTGACCTGGGTGTGGCCATGGTCCTGGGTGACCTCTGCTACCTCACCATTTCCTGGGTGACCTCCATGACTTTATCACCCTCATCTGCTCACGGACATGACCTCACAATGACCTGGACATGGATCCTGTCCTCGGTGACCCCTGTGACCTCACCACCTCTGGGTGACCTCTGTCACTCCACCACCCCTGGTCTGCTCATAGATGTGACCTCTCGGTGACCTGGACCTGGATGTGGTCTCAGGTGACCCCTGTGACCTCACCACTCTCATCTCACACATGTGACCCCACAATGACCTGGACGCAGACCCCGTCCTCCGGTGATCCTTGTGACCTCAAGCTGCGTGCACTTTTTCTTCGTGTCACTGCTGTGCTGGCCCTTCCTCACCTGGGCACAGGTAGGAACCCAGGGGGCCGAGCAGCCCCTGCCTGCCACACGTTCCTCCTGGGCTCAACAGAAGATGCAATCAAGCAGGGAGCAGGGCTATGGGGGCTTTGTTGGGACCCCGACTCCTGCCAGCCTCAGTCCTGGGGCTCCGGGTCACCTCCCGATGTGTCAACCTCAACATGCTGGGTCTGTCCGTGGCTCCCTGAGCGACTCACAGCCCTTCAGCAAATCTCTTCCTCTGCTCTGCCGCTCAGAACATTATGTTATCGCACTGAACTCTTCAGGTGTCAAATTTTTATTTAAAGTTTTTTTATTTAGGGGCGTGTGGTTGGCTCAGTTGGTTAAGCATCTGAGCATGATCCTGGGGTCCTGGGATCGAGCCCTGCATCGGGCTCCCTGCTCAGTGGGGAGTCTGCTTCTCCCTCTCCCTCTGCCCCTGCTTGTACGATCTCTCTCACTCGCTCTCTCTCCCTCAAATAAATAAATAAAATCTTTTATTTAGGTAAAACTCACGTAACATAAAATTAACTATTTTAAAGTGAACAATCCAGTGGCATTTAGTACATTCACAATATTGTTCAGCCATCCCCTCTACCTGGCTCCAAAACATTTCCATCCCCCCAAAAGGAGACCCCGTCCCCATTAGCAGTCACTCCCCATCCCCTCCCCCAGCCCCTGGCGACCAGGAATCTGTTTCCTGTCCGTAGAGTCACTGAGGACAGGATCCATGTCCAGGTCATTGCCTGTTCTGGATGTTTCATATAAACAGAGTCACGTGCAATGTGTCCTTTTGTGTCTGCTTCTCTCACCGGCCGCCATGTCCTCAATGTCTGTCCACGGGGTAGCAGGTGTCAGAGCTCCGTTCCTTTTTGGGGCTGAGTCATATTCCCCTGTGTGGATTGATCAGACTTTCTTTATCTGTTTATCTGTGCGCACACTTGGGCTGTTTCTGCTTTGTGCCTGTTATGAATCACACTGCTACAAAATGCTTCATGTTTTAAGGGAAGAGCTCATCCTGCTTTGCCAGTATTTTCTACCTGGTGACCAGGGCTCTGACTCACCCACTCTGGGGTTCAGTTTCCTCTTTGGTGACATCATCAAAGCCCTCACCTTAAGATTCTGTTGAGCATTTGGTGAGCTGACATGGGAAAAGCCCTTAGAACCATTTCGCAACCTCAGAATAGGATTTTATTTGGGAATAGGGTCTTTGTAGATGTGATGAAGTGAAGGATCTGAGAGGAGCTCATCTTGGATGAGGGTGGTCCTAAATCCAATGACAGGTGTGCTCGTAAGAGAAAGAAGAGGAGACACAGACACAGAAGAGAAGCCACAGGAAGACGGAAGCAGAGATGGGAAGGACGTGGCCACAAGCCCAGGGACGCCTGGAGCCCCAGAAGCTGGAAGAGGCAGGAAGGACCCTCCCCTGGAACCTCTGGAGGGAGCATGGCCCTGCCCCACCTGGATCTCAGTAGTCCTGCCCCACCTGGATCTCAGACTCTGGTCTCCAGAGCCAGGGGAGGATGAATTCCTGTGGTTTTAAGTCCCCAGTTTGGGGTCATTTGTTGTGGCCCCCCCAGCAGGCTCACACAGCACCCATCTCCATTGTGGCCATGGAGCCTGAAGATCTATAATGAGCCCTCACTTGCTATCACCAAGACCCCTTCCAGCCCCCTTCAAAGACGAGAGACACTCCTCTGTAACCCCTGGTGGGTCATGTGGTGCAGCTTTAAGTCAATGTCTTTAAGTAATGGGGGGAAAAAGTCTTTTATTTGATTATATTGCATGGAGCCAAAAGACAAAAAAATACAATCGAGGAGCAAAGCTGAAATCACTCACCTTGAGGTTGGGTCACCTGCATGGGTGGAGGAGACAGAGCAAAGGCACCTAACTTGGGACGGCTAAGTCCCATCCAGGTATCTTTATTTTAATTTAATGAGCACATTGTATCCCTTTTGCTTGTTACCTTAGATCCTCGTCAGAAGCAAGTTTGTGCTACATGGTGAGAGCTGAATGACCTTCACGCACATGCTGAGAGCTGAATGACCTTCATGCACTGCGGTTCAAAATCCTCAGTCTGCCAGACTCCTACGGAAACACCCCAAAGCAAGCACAGGCCTCCGGCACTATCATGAAACACTGAAAGCAGTCAAAATGACTGAGAATGGAGGCTGGGTTCAGTAAGTTATGTTTACTCAAGACAGTCTGCAAAGGAAGACAAGCAAGAACGCAGACCATGGGAAAATGGGCTTGTTGCAGAGGCAAAAGGGAGAGCGACATAGCAATCCAGAATGCATGCTCTCTCCAAATAGCCTCGGAGAAAAACCGGGAGGTAATACTCCAGATGAAAACCGTTTCCGTGAGGGTGGTGGAGGTAGTAAGTGATTTAAAAAATATTTTCTCTGTCTCCCAAATTTCCCGCAGTGATACGCACGTAAGCTAAAAATAAATGTGCTTTAAAATTGTTTTGGAAAAGGTTAGGCTATAAATAAATAAGTTTACGAAAGAAACGGAGTGAAGGCAATCTTACTATCCTCAGCAATGTGCCGCGTTAAGAGACAGCTCAGAGATTTCTCTTTCGGGGGGAAATGATTGTTTTCTGGATGGTTCTTTAGTTTACGTCAAACCTCAGATGCAGGACTTTTTGCTCTGGTGTATTTTGCCCCTGAACTTAAATGCGGAAGAAACTCTTAGGGTCTTGGATGGGATACTGTCTTCTGTTTCCGTCAGCATAAATTTAGGTCTGTCAGCACTCAGGGCAGCAGATCCTGGCTTTTCCTGCTGAAGACCTACATTTGACTCCGAGCATGGAAGGCACATTTTTCTTAATGACATGAGGCTGTATTTCGGAGAGCCAAAGTTAGTGATTTAGATCATTTATTTTTTTTAAAGGATTATAAAAGACATAGGTACTTTGTGTGGCAAGAACTTGAGAAGTACAGGCCCAGCATAAAGAGAACAAAAATCTCTCCTCTTCCAGTGAGTGTAGGTATTTCTTTTCCAGATGTGAATAATCACGATGAAGGACTGATTACTGCACACGGGGGGTGGGGAGAAATGGGGCTCCCTGTTCTTGGGAAGAAGGGGTCTATGTGGTGGCTCTGAAGCTGGGAAGGACTGTGTTTGACAGGACTTGGGGGCTCCTCTCAGCTGGGTGGTCTGGAAGTGGTCTAGCGATACAACACACAAGGAATTAGCCCCGAAAATGTGGGTAAGGGTCCCAGGCACAGAGAGCAGCCAGGGGGCGGGTCCTGACGTAGGAATGAGTTCTGCGTGCTCAGGCAGAACCGAGGCTCTGGGCTGGAGCCCATGGGCTGAGATAACGTGCTGGTGGGTGAGCTGTGCTGGTCAGCAGGCCCTTGTAGTGATGGGATAGGGAGCCACGGGGAGACACTACATGGGGGGGACACCATGCAATTTCTACTGTTAAGAGGGAACAAGAAATAGTCTGGCATTTCCTCAAGGGTTAAACATGGGGTTGGCCTATGACCCAGCGATGCCGTTGCTAGGCATGGCAGGACTGGAATGTGAGGTAAGTACTTGTCACTGGTGGGGTCACTTGGCTGTGTGTGTGTGTGCGCGCACGCGCGCATGTGTGTGAATCTCTAAATGTTCTACCTACTGAGGAAGAAACTATGGCAAGGTAAGCAGGTAATAGGTTGAATGGGGGATCCCTAGGAGACATGTCCATATCCTAACTTCCAGAATATGGAATGAGAGGGATGCGGCCACCAGCCCAGGGACGCCTGGAGCCCCAGAAGCTGGAAGAGGCAGAAAGGACCCTCCTCTGGAGTCTCAGGAGGGAGCACAGCCCTGCCCCGCCTGGATCTCAGTGGTCCTGCCCCGTCTGGATCTCAGACTTCTGATCTTGGAGCTGGGGGAGGATGAATTCCTGTGGTTTCAGGCCCCCAGTGTGTGTTCATCTGTCACACGGCCACAGGACATCCACAACCTGGAAAGACTTTGGGAAGTGAACACAGCACAGAGGCTTGACTGCTGCTCACAAAGTCCAGGACGATGGTCTTAAGCAGCACTGTGGGGCTTTTTGGGATAAACTGGTCAGACTGGGCTGCGCCTTTCACCACAGTCCTTTACTGCTGCTGATCCCAAGGCTCAAGAGGACGCCCCAACTGAGCTGGCCCCAGCCATCTGCTGTGTCCTCCTAAGCAGTCCGGGTGGAAAGAATGCCCTTGCAGAGGACAGCTGAGTTAAGTCTTGTTTTGGCAGCACATAACTTGGGTTATTTTAAGGGCTCTTGTTCATGCCCTAGAGGTTATGTACCAGCAGATTTCAGGAAATCACAGCCACGCATGGTATTAAAGCTGCATGACTGTCTGGCTCCAGAATCTGAAGTATGTAATTAACTCCTAATCCTCGGCGTCGAACCACCGTCAGGCACTTCCATGACAGAAACACACTATTTCGTGAGACTTTCTTGGGGTCACAGGGACGCAGAGCTCTTCGTGGTCTGAGCAGACACAGTGCTGGGTCTGTATGGTATGCATGGTGCCTGACCCACAACACAGATGGGACAAGATGGTGTTAGGTGTTGGGAAGAGGGGACATGCTCCATTTCCTCACATGCTCTCCTGAGGACGTGATGGGTGACCTCTCAGAGTGGGTGGCACCTCTGAGGTTCACGTACAGGGAAAGCCTTCGCTAGGAGCATGGAATGTTCCCACAGCCACCAGGGTTGAGGTTGGCTCAAGAAACATCTGGCCTGCACAGTTGGTGAACTTTTCTGTCCAGCTGTCATTTTCTAATGGCCAAGAGTGTGGCAGAGTCAGAACTGGGTTACACGAAAGAAGTGGGTTGTTAACTTCAGCTTCCTTTCTGACCCACTTTAAACCTAAACCTGATCGCATTGTTCAAGACAATGCAAGTTCTTTCCCTGAAAATGCACAGAGACAATGGGCCCTTGAATCTTTGAAAAGTAGTGCACATATTGAGTTTGATTTTGCTTCCAGACATGGGGATGAAAGAGATGTAGATAGGTAGATAGATAGATAGATAGATAGATAGATAGATAGATAGATAGATATGATGGATGGATAGATAGATGGATATATGAATGGATGGATGGATGGATAAATGATAGATAGATATGATGGATGGATGGATAGATGAATGGATGGATAGATGATAGATAGATACATGTAGAAATGAATGGATGGACAGAGAGATGGATGGATGGATGGTTGCATGGATGGATGATGGATGTAGAGATGGATGGATAGATAATAAATAGATTAAAAGTAGATGTGTTTCCTTTACAATAAATACAAGCACACCATTTGTTTATAGAGAGCACGTATATGCACAAAAAGACCATGAACACCATCTGAGGCTGTAAGTGCAGGTTTTCATTGGCATGGAGATGAGCAAAGTGTCTCTGATACATGTATACATATACACAAAAATTATATGTGTTATAATTATATATCTATTATTCCATAACATTATGTAATATGTATGTACAATACAGAATATATCATATAATACATAAGTATATATTACATATGTATATTATACATGTACCTACTTTGTATAACATATAATTTTAGATAATACATGTATACATAGCACATGATGATATAATGGAGTATGCTCTATTATATATAATTTGGTTTCTCTTTTTGCCTTATTTTTATAACTCATGCATTGTCAAGATGGCTTTGAAATTTCTTGTATGGATTTCAACCTCACACCTGCACCATGAAGTGAATTCTTCACAGCTTCCTGCAGCTGACCCCCCCCAGGGTGGCTGTGGGGTTGGGTCTGTGGACAGGTGCTGTGCCTCCCACTGGGTTTGGGCTGTGTCTGGCCCGTTGGCGATTTCTCGAGCCTGGTGGGACAGGGGTTCAGAAACAGTCCCCACCTCTGTGGCCTTGCCCTTGAATCTGTAGATTTATTTTATCTTAAAGGTTATATTTATTTATTTGAGGGACAGAGAGAGAGAGAGCATGAGTAGGGGGGTGGGCATGAGTAGGGGGGTGGGCAGAGGGAGAGGAAGAAGCAGACGCCTGCTGAGCAGGAAGCATGATGTGATGCGGGGCCTCGATGCAATGCGGGGCTCTCGATGCAATGTGGGCCTCAATGCGGGGCTCGATCCCAGAACCCTGGGATCGTGAGTTGAGCCGAAGGCAGACACTTCACCCACTGAGCCACCCAGGCGCTCCTTGGACTGTAGATTTTAGGTGCTCACTGTGTGGCATCTCTCGGTGTTGTGGGGGGCAGGTGGGGAAGCTTGCTGCAGGAAGGTCCTATGACAAGGGCCAGGTATCCTCAGGAGGGGAGCACTCCCTGCAGACACCACATGTGCAGAAGGCATCCCCCAGACCTGACCCCACACCGTGGGGCTACACAAGGCCCCCAGGAAGCAAGCTACCCGTCTGTGGGATTCTGTACCCACCTCTTTTGTCAAAATTGATACCCTTCCATCAGAAGCAGAGAGGGCCCTCGGCTCACGCATCCTGCAGGTTGGACCCACAGCGCATGATGACCCCAGTCTTGTATGCTGCAAGTATATGGGGAAACATATGGGGTGTGCATCCCACCTCGGGGCAGCGGGTATGGGCACATCTGTTTGGATAGTTACGGCACCGTGTGAAAAATGCTACAATGAGGCAGGAACCAGATGCACCGCAGCTGAGAGCTCCTTGTCTGGGGGACTGTGGGTGTGCAAACGCATGACTGCGACACAGAGAAGTGCACAAAGCCTGAATCGAAGCCAGTGGAGCTCTGAGGAGGGACCCCTTGACAGATGCTGAGAGCCAAGAGCACCATCGAGCTGCATTTCTAGCACTTAAGCAAAGACTGTGGTGAAGAAACAGGTGGAGAACCACAGTGACAAGCAGCAGAGAGAACACCGTTTTGGTTTTCTTGTTGGTTTTAAAAGGAAAACATCACTGCGAGTCCTCAGGATGAACGGGCCAAGGTGGAGGCGTCCACGGCAGATGGACTCCCATGTGCGGTACGGGTGGGCGCTGCAGGACGCGTTCACCTTGTATGTCCTGTCCCAGCAGCCGTGCAGACCAAGGCAGAGACGAGATGCTGCCAAGCCCGCGTCTCCTGGACGCCTTGCACATCTGAGCGGGAGAGTCTATTTCTGGCCACAGCGCAAGTGGACTTGATCTCAACACTCTAAAAACATCCCATGCAAAGCGTGCAGCCGACATTTGTTGGGCATACCTCCCGCGCCTGCCACTGGACAGTGGACGTGCTCAGCGACTCTATTTCTGGCGAGCAGGTGGGGGAAGGATGAGACTCGGTGGCTGTGCCAGGGTGGGTGGCAAGACTCAGGGATTCCTACGCTGGTTAACATTTTTGTGTTCCAGACTTCGTGCGCTTCGCCAAGGAGACAGTGCGTGAAACCTCGGATGTCAGGGTCTCAGCCCAGAGTGGAATTATACCATGGGTTGACTTTCTGCAGAGGTTACTCTTTTTCTCATGGCACAAGATTACATTTTCCCCTCCTGGTTGCAGAGTGCTTGCACATCTTTCCTGGAGGTGGCTGGTTCCCACATTTTTCCTGGCACACCAACTTGCTTGGAGAAAGGGGGACCCTCTTGACATTCAATACATCTTGTGGAGTCTGACGCAATGTCCAGCATTAAGGCCCCCACGCTTCCCCATCCAGCACACTCTTTTTTTTTTTTTTAAAGATTTTATTTATTTGACAGAGAGAGACACAGCGAAAGAGGGAACACAAGCAGGGGGAGTGGGAGAGGGAGAAGCAGACTCCCCGCAGAGCAGGGATCCCGATGCGGGACTCGATCCCAGGACCCTGGGATCATGACCTGAGCTGAAGGCAGTTGCTTAACCAACTGAGCCACCCAGGCGCCCCCATCCAGCACACTCTTGTCTCTGCAGGAGCTCACAGTCCAGGTTCTTCTCCTGACTTACTAACGCAGGGGTGCTTCTGATGTCCAACTATCCCCAAAAGATCCTCCCTCCTTGGGTCTGGCTCCTCATCCTGGTCCTGCCCAAGGTCCGGTCAGAATTCAGGAGATGCACAGAGACTTACTTTCTTGTGTGGACTCCGAGGAGAGTGGGTTCAGGCAAAAGCACATTAACTGCTCACCCAGCATGAGTGGGGGCAGTGGACAGCGTGTCTTCTGTTCTCTTTACTTGCAGAAGTGTGTATTTTTGTGAACATGAAAATTGTGAGGAAACCTCCACCTTTCCTCCTTCTTTCTGTATTGAATCAGTTCCCCCTGGGAGCTGGTCGCCCGATTCTCAGAGAGACTGGTTTGTTTAACAGAAGCATGCATGAATATCATTCCTTGTCCTAAAGGAATAAAAGGATGACCCCGTTGTGCCCCACAGTCTGGGGGCATTTAGAAACTCTTGTGGGGCACATGTAATGTGCTGGGTCCTGGGGATGTGGAAGCCAGTGAGATGTACCTTGGAGGAGCTCACAGTTTGGGGGAAAGATGGATGATATGCTTGAGGTCTGTCAGCAATGTGGGGGAGAGGGAGGGGCAAGCCAGGGGGGAGGGGATGGGATGAGAGAGTGGGAGCCCATCCCAGATGGGAGAGACAGCCCATGCAAAGGGATGAAGCAAGAAAGATGAAAGATGTGTGCAGTTCACATCTGTTATGGGCTGAACTGTGCCCCCAAACCCACATGTTGGAGTCCTAACCCCCAGGACCTCAGCATGTGACCGTATTTGGAGATGTGGTCTTTACAAAGGTAATTGAGTGCAAATGGGGTCATTCAGGTTGGTCCTGGTTCAATGTCTCTGGTGTCTCTGTAAGAAGGGGACACTTGGGCATGGACATGCACATGGGGGAAGCCACGTGAAGACAGAGGCAGAGATGAGGGGGATGTGTCCACAAGCCCAGGGGCTCCAAGAATCACTGGCAGCGCCAGAAGATGGGACAGGAGCAACTTTTCCCTCAGAGCCCCCAAGAAGAACCAACCCTGCCCCACCTGGATCTCGGACATCTGGTCTCCAGAGTGGGAGCGGATGGATTCCTGTTGCTTTAGGGTCCCCCTCTCCCATTGGGCTCACTGGTTCCAGTGGCCCCAGGAGGTGCATACAAAGCTGCACAGCACAGGGATGCTCTGAAGGCAGCAATGGGTAGAGCAATAAAAGGAACAGGGAGGACCCAAATGGCCAGTGACACCCCAAATACTGGGGATGCTCCAGAAAACTCCTGGAAAATCCACCATAACCAGGGAGGGTGCGGGCACTTGGTCTTTCATAGGCACCTGGCATGTGATTCTCACTATTCCGACAAGTGTTTGGACAGACTTGCTGCTCACTACCAATTTCAGAGAAAGGATTGAAGATGGAAGAAAGATCTTTTCCTGATCATTTAATTTTGCCAGGTTGGTTTTAAAGCCAATCTCTTAGTCTGCTCAGGGTTGCTGTCACAGAACACCAGAGATGGGGTGGCTAAAATGACCGACACTTATTTCTCACAGGACATTGCTGGGACACCCTGTCTTGAGGATGACTGCCTGCTGTCTGTGTCCTTACACGGTGGAGAGAAAGAGAAAGACATGGTGTGTGCAGAGGAGTCTCATAAGGATGCTAACCTCATCATGAGGACGCCACCCTCGTGACTTCATCTCAACCTAATCACCTCCTGAAGGCCCCTCCTCCAAATACCATCCCACTGGGGGTCAGGGCTGTGACACATGAATCTGGGGCAGGGGCACACACATTCAGTCCATTAATAGCCAGGCTGGGGAAAGTTTTAAAGAGATTTACGTAATAAAGAAAGTGGTATACATATTTACATATGTAGTTACCATTTCTGACATTCTTAATTTCTTTGACTGGCTCCATGTTTCCCTCTGATACTATTTTCCATGAACATTTCTGTCTTGCAGGATGAAACGTTGTTAACATTTTGCACAACAAGAAATGTTAGTGATACATTCTCTCAGCTGTCATATGCCTGGAAACGTGTGGTTTTCTTGAGAAGTACTTTAGCTGGGTATAGAATTCCAGGCTGACAGTTTTCTTTTTTCCAGAACTTTAAAAATGTTGCACCACTGCCTTCTTATCTGTGTTGTTTAGATGGGAAATCTGCCTTAAAGTTCATCTTGTTTCTAGATATGGACCACATCTTTCCCCCTCCCTTGGCTCCTTTTAAGATTTTTTCTCTTCACACTGGTTTTAAGCAGCTTGATTACAACGTACCTTAATGTCATTTTCTTCATGTCTCTTGTGCTTGGAGTTTGTTAGAATTTTTGGATTTGGTGTTTAACGTTTTCATTGAATCTGGGAAGTCTTCAGCCAGTATATTTTCAAATGTTTTTCCTCTCTCCCTCTTCCCCAACTCCATCTCTCTCCCAGCCTGCTCTGTTCATTTACACAATTTTTATACATTCTCTGTTTCATTTGAGATAGTTTTTATTGTTATATCTTCATATTGCTCCATCTTCAAGTTCACTAATCTCACCCACTGTTAATCCCATATGGTGTGTTTCATCTCAGACATTGTTATTTACATCTGTTGAAGTTTGATTTTGTTATTTTTTTATGTTCCTTGTCTCTAGTTTTTGAACATGCTGCATACAGTTATAACTGTTTCAGTGTCTTTGCAGAATCTACCATAAGGGACAGTTTGCAGTTGTTTTCAATGAATAGATTTGTCTCCTTGTATTGGTCATATTTTCCAGTTTCTTTGTACACCTGATAATTTTTCACTGGATACCAGACATTGTGGATTTTATTTTGGACACTGCTGGATTTTTTTTTTTGTATTCATGTAAGTATTGTTGAGGTTTGTTATGAAGTACACTTGGAAATGGTTTGATCCCTTTGGGTCTTGCTTTTAAGATTTGCTAGGTGGAACCAAAAGGTGTTTCGTCTACAGCTAGTGATTCTCCAACACTGAGACAAAGTCTTGCTGGCTATCCTAACCACCCACTGCCCTGTGAGTTAGGTTTTCTAGTCTGGCTCAGGGAATATGCACGGTTCCCAGCCCTGGGTGAGTACCCAGCCCCATTCCTCTGGATCCTGGATCCTTTCAGGTGATTCTTACCCCAGTCTTGGGTAGGTCCTCACCTGCATGTGCTCATCAACATTTAGCTGAAGACACAAGGAGACCCTTTGTGCATCTCTGGATTCTCTCTGTGTAGTGTCTCCTCTCTGGATCTCACCTCCTTGGTCTCCCCCGTTCTCAGCCCTAGGTCTTCAACTTCGGGGGTCTGCAGGGCTACACCTGGGTCTGCTGCCTGTGTCTGGAAACTCTCTCCAGGTAGTGACCAATTGAGAACTCACTTCCCTGTTTCCTGTACCTCGGGGATCACTGCTCTATTGCTTGATGACCTGTGTCTTGAAAACCATTCTTTCATATGTTTTGTACATTTCTGGGGTTGTTTCATGTGGGAGAATGAATCTAGTCCCTGTTGCTCAATCCTGGTTGGAAGCAGAAGGCTTGGGGAAAGATTTATAGGTAAGGGGATGTTGATGCTGTGACATCAAAAAAGGTGTTGCTGACTCTCTAGAGTTAATGTGCCCTTTGGAGCACCACCCCAGCCTCTGTTGGAATGTACCCCCTGAGGGGGCGGACCTAGTTTTGTCCACTGCTGGGACCCCAGCCCCAAGGACAGTGCCCTTGCTGTTCATGCAGGCTGCAGTAATTTGAAATAGAGGTGACTCGGAAAAGGGGATGTTTATTCATACATTCAGATGAGGTGTTGTTTCTACCATCTCCCCACCCATGGATGTTACAAAATCTTCCTATTACATGGTGTAGTTATCAGCATTTTTGAACATTCTGAAGAGACGTGGGGCTGCCGGAACCGAGGTCCCTGCCCTCTTGGGGGTGAGTGAGGAGGGGTGAGCCATCACCCTACAGTTCCAGCGCCCAGTGTCCTCCTAGTTGGGAAAATATCACCTCAGAGTCTCATTGCTCCACACTGATATTGGCCTGCACCCTGTTTTAGGAATAAAATATTTGTGGAGAGGTTTGCGTGTGTGAGTATGTGATTATGTGTAGTTGTGTGAGTGTGGACCGTGTGTATAAGTGTGTGATTATGTGTGGAAATATGTGACTGTCTGTGATTATGTGTGTTTGTACATGTGACCATGTGTGTACAAGTGTGTGATTGTGTGTGCGTGTGTGTGTGTGTGTGTGTCTGTGGGTGGTGGGGAGGGACATTGGCTGACAAGGTGACCCTGGGGAGCAAATTCACTGCCCACCGCACTTCTCTCCCTGTCATGCTCAGGAGAGGACATGAAAGGTAAGTGCCCGCTGAGGCCAGGTGGGGATGGGCAGCGTGGTTTTCTGTACCTGGTGGGCACCTCATTTGAATGAACATGCATTCCTGTAGGTGGGGCTCCTTGGAGTTGGGGTGCATGTGGTGGAGCTGAGGCTGGGCGCTGTGACCAGCAGGCAGCAGATGGATGCTCTCCTTTTGTACCTCCCAAGCTCCCACTCACCTTGCCCTGTAACAGCCACCTGCACGGCAGGCAGAGACCCAGCTGGGGAGGCTGGGGCACCAGCCACTGGGTGTCACTGCTGCTGTAACATCTGGTGCTTTGTGCACACCTGAGTGCTCCCCATGCTGCCACCACTCTTGTGGGGACAGGTGCCTTTGGCCACACTAAACAAGTATAAGATCAGCGTCCCCCCAGTTGGGGCATTAGGGCCCAGTCTGGGCAGGCTGCCCTGGAGGCTGCCAGCTCAGGTATCGAATCCCGGTTATTAAAACTCTTTGTTATTGTCCTACACATTGGAAATAGAAATTGTCCTAAATCACATTGGTGTGGTTTCCCTGCAAAGAGGACATGGTTTTTTTGGGGGGTAATGCAGGGTCCCAATGCCCTGCACCTGTGTTACTCTGTGTCCTTTCTCCCTCGTCCCTCATGGAGAGAGTCCACGATAGTGGAATTAAGAAGTCATCTTGGGGGGCGCCTGGGTGGCTCAGTCGTTAAGCGTCTGCCTTCGGCTCAGGTCATGATCCCGGGGTCCTGGGATCCAGCCCCGCATTGGGCTCCCTGCTCAGCGGGAAGCCTGCTTCTCCCTCTCCCACTCCCCCTGCTTGTGTTCCCTCTCTCACTG